AAGGTTTTTGAAGAGTTATACGAAATATGAATAAAATATAGAATTATTAAGAGAAATTCAAGGTACTGCGTAGCCTAGTGGTTAGCGTGGTAGTCTCATAGCCAGAAGGTTATTGGATCAATGCTTGCCTGGATGTTGTATTTTTCTTTTTTTGGATTATTTTAAAAATTTTTGTTTTTTTATTTTATTTAAATTTTGTATTTTATTTTTTTTTAATATATAACAGAAAAATGTTATATAAAAGTTTAAAGAAAATTTCCAAAAAAATATTCTTATAATAGTTTGGAAAAATTTGCAAAAATTTTAAGTACATAAATATGTATGTATGTATATTTTTTTAAAGCTTCCTGAGTAATTTTTTTTAAGCTTTCTATATGAATTTAATAATATTCAAAACTGTAGAATATATAGAAATAAATTTTAAACGCATAGTTATTAAATCATGGGAGTAAACATACAAAAATTAATTTTTCAAATAAAGAAAAGGTTTAGTCAAAAACAAAATAATAATTTCATTCATATATATGTATGTATGTATGTATGAATATATGTGTGTATGTATATATGAATGGATTAGAATTGAAGATTTTGAAATTTTTCGTTCCAACATATGAACGTATGTACATATGAATGTATTAGAATCGAAAATTAAAAAAGAAACAAAAACAAAATAATAATTTATGTATGTAAAAATATATGTATGTATGTATATATGAATACATGTGTGTATGAATGTATATATGAATGGATTAGAATTGAAGATTTTAAAATTTTTCGTTCCAACATATGAACGTATGTACATATGAATGTATTAGAATCGAAAATTTTGAAATTTTGCTGTTGGAAAAATTAGGAATAAAATTATTAACACAAACACACGTTATTATGAATGTATACATAGTTTTTTTAAAACTGCGGGTGAACATATAGAAATAAATTTCTCAAATAAAGAAAAGGTTTAGGTTAAAATAAAATAATAATTGTATTCAAATATATATATGTACATATGAATGTAATTTTTTTAAATAAAGAAAAGGTTTAGGCAAAAACAAAATAATAATTTTATTCAAATATATGTATGTATATATAAATGTATTAAAATTTAGCATTTTACAGTTTTCCGTTTGGAACAATAAAAATAAAATTCTAACTACATACGTACATACATATATTCTGTATGTACATATATTTTTTTAAAGCTTGCTGACGAAACGTAATGTTCAAAACAATAACAAATGAAATATTAATATTCAGATGTCACAAAACATCTGATGTCTGATAAAAGCTGACATTTATTTACGTTAAGATTAATTCGTTTATTCGCAACAAAAATATGTGAGATCATTATATTTTCAAATATTTTTTATTTCTCGGTTTGTGTTTCTAATAATAAAAATAACGTAAAACGTATCATTTATTTCTTGGTTTGTGTTTCTAATTATAAAAAGTATAAAAGAAAAACGTGCTTTTGTTATACAAAAATTTCAGAAAATCTTAAAATAGAGCTATTTCGGGGCTAAAAAGTTCCAATGTCAGATTTTTCTGGTACCCTAGAGGCAAAAATCTACCTAATGCCTTTTGTCCCATGTCTCTAGCCCTTCTAGAAGTACCCGTACTTTTTACCACCTGAGAAGTAGCTATATATATATAATGTAAAATAGGATGGTTTTTGAAGAGTTATACGAAATATGAATAAAATATAGAATTATTAAGGCAAATTCAAGATACTGCTTAGCCTAGTGGTTAGCGTGGTAGTCTCATAGCCAGAAGGTTATTGGATCAATGCTTGCCTGGATGTCGTAGTATTTTTATTTTTTTGCATTATTTTAAAATTTTTTTTTTATTTTATTTAAATTTTGTGTTTTATGTTTTTTAATACCTATATAACAGATAAATGTTATATAAAAGTTTATATGTATATTTTTTTTAAAGCTTCCTGAGTAATTTTTTTTAAGCTTTCTATATGAATCTAATAATATTCAAAACTGTGGAATATATAGAAATAAATTTTAAACGCATAATTATTATATCATGGGGGTAAACTTGCAAAAATTAATTTCTCAAATAAAGAAAAGGTTTAGTCAAAAACAAAATAATAATTTATGTATGTAAAAATATATGTATGTATGAATATATGAATGTATGTGTGTATGTACATATATATGAATGTTTTAGAATTAAAGATTTTAAAATTTTTCGTTCCAACATATGAACGTATGTACATATGAATGTATTAGAATCGAAAATTTTGAAATTTTGCTGTTGGAAAAATTATAAATAAAATTATAAATGCCAATACATAATTATGAATGTATAGCTAGTTTTTTTAAAACTGCGGGTGAACATATAGAAATAAATTTCTCAAATAAAGAAAAGGTTTAGGTTAAAATAAAATAATAATTGTATTCAAATATATATATGTACATATGAATGTAATTTTTTTAAATAAAGAAAAGGTTTAGGCAAAAACAAAATAATAATTTTATTCAAATATATGTATGTATATATAAATGTATTAAAATTTAGCATTTTACAGTTTTCCGTTTGGAACAATAAAAATAAAATTCTAACTACATACGTACATACATATATTCTGTATGTACACATATTTTTTTAAAGCTTGCTGGCGAAACGTAATGTTAAAAACAATAACAAATGAAATATTAATATTCAGATGTCACAAAACATCTGATGTCTGATAAAAGGTGACATTTATTTACGTTAAGATTAATTCGTTTATCCGAAACAAAAATATGTGAGATCATTATATTTTCAAATATTATTTATTTCAGGGTTTGTGTTTCTAATAATAAAAATAACGTAAAAAGTATCATTTATTTCTTGGTTTGTGTTTCTAATTATAAAAAGTATAAAAGAAAAACGTGCTTTTGTTATACAAAAATTTTTTCAGAAAATGTTAAAATAGAGCTATTTCGGGGCTAAAAAGTTCCAATGTCAGATTTTTCTGGGACCCTGGAGGCAAAACTCTGCTATGGAGGGGGTAAAGGGGGAGGGCGGGCGGTTGGAATTCTTGCTTTTCCTGGGACCCTAGAGGCAAAACTCTACCTAATGCCCTTTGTCCCATGTCTCTAGCCCTTCTAGAAGTACCCGTACTTTTTACCACCTGAGAAGTAGCTATCTATATATAATGTAAAATAGGATGGTTTTTGAAGAGTTATACGAAATATGAATAAAATATAAAATTATTAAGAGAAATTCAAGGTACTGCGTAGCCTAGTGGTTAGCGTGGTAGTCTCATAGCCAGAAGGTTATTGGATCAATGCTTGCCTGGATGTTGTATTTTTCTTTTTTTGGATTATTTTAAAAATTTTTTTTTTTATTTTGTTTGAATTATTTTGTATTTTACTTTTTTTTTAATATACGAGTATAACAGAAAAATGCTATATAAAAGTTTAAAGAAAATTTCCGAAAAAATATTCTTATAATAGTTTGGTAAAATTCGCAAAAATTTTAAGTAAATAAATATGTATGTATGTATATTTTTTTTAAAGCTTCCTGAGTAATTTTTTTTAAGCTTTCTATGTATATGAATTTAATAATATTCAAAACTGTAGAATATATAGAAATAAATTTTAAACGCATAATTATTAAATCATGGGAGTAAACATACAAAAATTAATTTTTCAAATAAAGAAAAGGTTTAGTCAAAAACAAAATAATAATTTTATTCATATATATGTATGTATGTATGTATGAATATATGTGTGTATGTATATATGAATGGATTAGAATTGAAGATTTTGAAATTTTTCGTTCCAACATATGAACGTATGTACATATGAATGTATTAGAATCGAAAATTAAAAAAGAAACAAAAACAAAATAATAATTTATATATGTAAAAATATATGTATGTATGTATATATGAATACATGTGTGTATGTATGTATATATGAATGGATTAGAATTGAAGATTTTAAAATTTTTCGTTCCAACATATGAACGTATGTACATATGAATGTATTAGAATCGAAAATTTTGAAATATTGCTGTTGGAAAAATTAGAAATAAAATTATTAACACAAACACACGTTATTATGAATGTATACCTAGTTTTTTTAAAACTGCGGGTGAACATATAGAAATAAATTTCTCAAATAAAGAAAAGGTTTAGGTTAAAATAAAATAATAATTGTATTCAAATATACTGTGAGTGCCAAAAGTAATTGTACACTTATAGATTGTAATTTTAAAGTTCAATATTTATTAAAATAATGGTTTTTTACAAAATTTGATTTAACAAAAATTTAATTTAATTCATTATTAACAAAAACAAGTAAAAAAAAAACATGAAAAACAAAAATAAAAAGTTTTACAACAAAAGCATAAAACAAGTCCAGTTTTGAGGCGTCAAAAGAAATTGTACACCTTAAAAATTTATATGTTTTGAAGCAAATTTAGTATTTGGTTTGTTTTCCTTTGGCTTTCAGAACATGTTGTAGTCTGTCTGGCATAGATTGCACTAGTTTCTGTGTTTCCGCTGCGGTTATTTTTTGCCATTGTTCGAGTATAACTGATTTCAACGACTCCTTGTCCTTTATGGCCCTTTTTCGTATCCTCCTGTCCAAAATTTCCCACAAATGTTCAATGGGGTTAAGATCGGGTGATTGAGGAGGGTGATCCAAATGTTTAGGTACGTTGTACAATAACCACTCCTTGACTATTTTGGAAGTGTGCTTAGGATCATTGTCCTGTTGAAAAACCCAATTAGAATTCAGCTGTAGTTTTAAAACGCTAGGCCGTACGTTTTCTTTTAAAATATTCAGAAAATGAAATTTGTTCATCGTACTATCTATAAAAACTAAGTTTCCCACCCCTGCAGCAGCCATACATCCCCAAACCATTATGCCACCTCCGCCATGTTTTACCGTTTTCAAAATATTTCTTTCATTAAATTCTTGGTTTTTCGGTCTCCATATTTTCCCTTGTTTTTTTATACCAAAAATTTCAAACTTGCTCTCATCAGTAAAAAGAACATTTTACCAGAAGTTAACATCTTTATTTTCGTACTTTTTCGCGAATTCTAGTCTTTTTTGCTGATTAATTTTTGAGATATATGGTTTTCGTCGCGGAGACCTACCGTGTAGTCCATTTTCACGTAGTGCTCGTCGTATAGTACTAGCACTTACAGGTTTTTCTGATGTTTGAGTAATATTTTTAGATATTTTTACTGCACTTACACTTGGGTTGTTTTTGACTTCTCTCACTATTTGTCTTATTTCTTTATCAGAAAGTCGTTTTGGTCTACCAGACTTTTTGAAGTTATCAATTTCATTAAAATTTTTATATTTGTCTATAACATATTTTACTGTATTATGACTTCTATTGGTCGTATTTGCTATATTTCGTAAGGATTTACCTTTTTTGTGCAAATCAATTATGATTTGTCGGGTTTCTAAAGAAGTTTGTTTTCCCATTCTTACAAAAAATGGAAAGTAATAAAAAAAGCAGTTCTATATTTCTCAAATAATAAGAAGTAAGATCTCAAGTAATAAAAATGAGCCAGAAATGTTTTGGTACGATGTGTTTATCAAAAAATATCATTCGCTATTGAATTAACTGGGAGTCTCCCTTATTTTTAATAAATAAAAACAAGAATTTCTCAAGTGTACAGTTTCTTTTGGCGCCTCAAATCTGGACTTTTTTTTCTATTTTGTTCTTATACTTTTTATTTTTGTTTTTTTTGATTTTCTTTCTTACTTGTTTTCATTAATAATGAATTAAATAAAATTTGTGTTTAATTAGTTTTTGTAAAAAACCACTATTTTAGTAAATATTAAATTTTAAAGTTACAAATTGTAAGTGTACAAAAGCTGACATTTATTTACGTTAAAATTAATTCGTTTATCCGCAACAAAAATATGTGAGATCATTATATTTTCAAATATTATTTATTTCTCGGTTTGTGTTTCTAATAATAAAAATAACGTAAAACGTATCATTTATTTCTTGGTTTGTGTTTCTAATTATAAAAAGTATAAAAGAAAAACGTGCTTTTGTTATACAAAAATTTTTTCAGAAAATCTTAAAATAGAGCTATTTCGGGGCTAAAAAGTTCCAATGTCAGATTTTTCTGGTACCCTAGAGGCAAAAATCTACCTAATGCCTTTTGTCACATGTCTCTAGCCCTTCTAGAAGTACCCGTACTTTTTATCACCTGAGAAGTAGCTATATATATATAATGTAAAATAGGATGGTTTTTGAAGAGTTATACGAAATATGAATAAAATATAAAATTATTAAGAGAAATTCAAGGTACTGCATAGCCTAGTGGTTAGCGTGGTAGTCTCATAGCCAGAAGGTTATTGGATCAATGCTTGCCTGGATGTTGTATTTTTCTTTTTTTGGATTATTTAAAAAAATTTTTTTTTTTATTTTGTTTAAATTTTGTATTTTATTTTTTTTTTAATATATAACAGAAAAATGTTATATAAAAGTTTAAAGAAAATTTCCAAAAAAATATTCTTATAACTAGGGGCCCCTGTGGTTTGCTTATAAGCAGTATTATCTGTTGTAAAAACAGGTTTGTGGCAATCAATTTTAAAATAAGTTTAGAAAAATTTGTACATATTATGGCATACATATGCAGGTATATACTTGTATATGCATAAATATCATATTGGTTTGAATACTAATGATAAATAAAAGTAATGGAAATATTTTTAATTTAATAAATTTTAAGATGTAATATGTGTCACTGTTAATTACATAGATATGATTAAAATTCAAATTAAGAATTAGTTAACAATTAAGAACGAAAAATTTCCTTCTAAACAACGTTATCTAGATAAGTACGTAACGTAACGTTATTCGTGTTCTTATATCTCTCACAATTTTTAGTTTTATTTTTTTTAATTCCATTCCATGTTAAATACAACAACAAAAAATTATTTTACTCTTACTTAACTCATTTAAAATATTTCGCTTCCTTTTGCTTTTTATTTTTGTTTAAGGTAGTAAAGCAAAAAAACAAAAAAAATATTACTACTCTTTTTTTACTCTCTTTCGCTTTTCGCTTTTCATTTTTTGTTTTTGTTTTACAGTATGTATAATCAATTGAGTAATGTATGTACCCAGTATTCTCTTTTGCTATTTTCATTTCTTTGTTTTTGTTATTTATTAGATTATATGTATACCTGTTCATGAACTGGAAAAATCTTGTAAAATATAATATAGATAGTTTGGAAAAATTCGCAAAAATTTTAAGTACATAAATATGTATGTATGTATATTTTTTTTAAAGCTTCCTTAGTAATTTTTTTTAAGCTTTCTATATGAATTTAATAATATTCAAAACTGTAGAATATATAGAAATAAATTTTAAACGCATAATTATTAAATCATGGGAGTAAACATATAAAAATTAATTTTTCAAATAAAGAAAAGGTTTAGTCAAAAACAAAATAATAATTTTATTCATATATATGTATGTATGTATGTATGAATATATGTGTGTATGTATATATGAATGGATTAGAATTGAAGATTTTGAAATTTTTCGTTCCAACATATGAACGTATGTACATATGAATGTATTAGAATCGAAAATTAAAAAAGAAACAAAAACAAAATAATAATTTATGTATGTGAAAATATATGTATGTATGTATATATGAATACATGTGTGTATGTATGTATATATGAATGGATTAGAATTGAAGATTTTAAAATTTTTCGTTCCAACATATGAACGTATGTACATATGAATGTATTAGAATCGAAAATTTTGAAATTTTGCTGTTGGAAAAATTAGAAATAAAATTATTAACACAAACACACGTTATTATGAATGTATACCTAGTTTTTTTAAAACTGCGGGTGAACATATAGAAATAAATTTCTCGAATAAAGAAAAGGTTTAGGTTAAAATAAAATAATAATTGTATTCAAATATATATATGTACATATGAATGTAATTTTTTTAAATAAAGAAAAGGTTTAGGCAAAAACAAAATAATAATTTTATTCAAATATATGTATGTATATATAAATGTATTAAAATTTAGCATTTTACAGTTTTCCGTTTGGAACAATAAAAATAAAATTCTAACTACATACGTACATACATATATTCTGTATGTACATATATTTTTTTAAAGCTTGCTGACGAAACGTAATGTTCAAAACAATAACAAATGAAATATTAATATTCAGATGTCACAAAACATCTGATGTCTGATAAAAGCTGACATTTATTTACGTTAAGATTAATTCGTTTATCCGCAACAAAAATATGTGAGATCATTATATTTTCAAATATTATTTATTTCTCGGTTTGTGTTTCTAATAATAAAAATAACGTAAAACGTATCATTTATTTCTTGGTTTGTGTTTCTAATTATAAAAAGTATAAAAGAAAAACGTGCTTTTGTTATGCAAAAATTTTTTCAGAAAATCTTAAAATAGAGCTATTTCGGGGCTAAAAAGTTCCAATGTCAGATTTTTCTGGTACCCTAGAGGTAAAACTCTACCTAATGCCTTTTGTCCCATGTCTCTAGCCCTTCTAGAAGTACCCGTACTTTTTACCACCTGAGAAGTAGCTATATATATATAATGTAAAATAGGATGGTTTTTGAAGAGTTATACGAAATATGAATAAAATATAAAATTATTAAGAGAAATTCAAGGTACTGCGTAGCCTAGTGGTTAGCGTGGTAGTCTCATAGCCAGAAGGTTATTGGATCAATGCTTGCCTGGATGTTGTATTTTTCTTTTTTTGGATTATTTTAAAAATTTTTTTTTTTATTTTGTTTGAATTATTTTGTATTTTACTTTTTTTTTAATATACGAGTATAACAGAAAAATGTTATATAAAAGTTTAAAGAAAATTTCCGAAAAAATATTCTTATAATAGTTTGGAAAAATTCGCAAAAATTTTAAGTAAATAAATATGTATGTATGTATATTTTTTTTAAAGCTTCCTGAGTAATTTTTTTTAAGCTTTCTATGTATATGAATTTAATAATATTCAAAACTGTAGAATATATAGAAATAAATTTTAAACGCATAATTATTAAATCATGGGAGTAAACATACAAAAATTAATTTTTCAAATAAAGAAAAGGTTTAGTCAAAAACAAAATAATAATTTTATTCATATATATGTATGTATGTATGTATGAATATATGTGTGTATGTATATATGAATGGATTAGAATTGAAGATTTTGAAATTTTTCGTTCCAACATATGAACGTATGTACATATGAATGTATTAGAATCGAAAATTAAAAAAGAAACAAAAACAAAATAATAATTTATATATGTAAAAATATATGTATGTATGTATATATGAATACATGTGTGTATGTATGTATATATGAATGGATTAGAATTGAAGATTTTAAAATTTTTCGTTCCAACATATGAACGTATGTACATATGAATGTATTAGAATCGAAAATTTTGAAATATTGCTGTTGGAAAAATTAGAAATAAAATTATTAACACAAACACACGTTATTATGAATGTATACCTAGTTTTTTTAAAACTGCGGGTGAACATATAGAAATAAATTTCTCAAATAAAGAAAAGGTTTAGGTTAAAATAAAATAATAATTGTATTCAAATATACTGTGAGTGCCAAAAGTAATTGTACACTTATAGATTGTAATTTTAAAGTTCAATATTTATTAAAATAATGGTTTTTTACAAAATTTGATTTAACAAAAATTTAATTTAATTCATTATTAACAAAAACAAGTAAAAAAAAAACATGAAAAACAAAAATAAAAAGTTTTACAACAAAAGCATAAAACAAGTCCAGTTTTGAGGCGTCAAAAGAAATTGTACACCTTAAAAATTTATATGTTTTGAAGCAAATTTAGTATTTGGTTTGTTTTCCTTTGGCTTTCAGAACATGTTGTAGTCTGTCTGGCATAGATTGCACTAGTTTCTGTGTTTCCGCTGCGGTTATTTTTTGCCATTGTTCGAGTATAACTGATTTCAACGACTCCTTGTCCTTTATGGCCCTTTTTCGTATCCTCCTGTCCAAAATTTCCCACAAATGTTCAATGGGGTTAAGATCGGGTGATTGAGGAGGGTGATCCAAATGTTTAGGTACGTTGTACAATAACCACTCCTTGACTATTTTGGAAGTGTGCTTAGGATCATTGTCCTGTTGAAAAACCCAATTAGAATTCAGCTGTAGTTTTAAAACGCTAGGCCGTACGTTTTCTTTTAAAATATTCAGAAAATGAAATTTGTTCATCGTACTATCTATAAAAACTAAGTTTCCCACCCCTGCAGCAGCCATACATCCCCAAACCATTATGCCACCTCCGCCATGTTTTACCGTTTTCAAAATATTTCTTTCATTAAATTCTTGGTTTTTCGGTCTCCATATTTTCCCTTGTTTTTTTATACCAAAAATTTCAAACTTGCTCTCATCAGTAAAAAGAACATTTTACCAGAAGTT